CTCCCCTGCAGCCGCGCCCGGGACCACACCTCCGCCACAAATTGAAATCAACTTCGAAGTTCATTCTGCATCTCCATGTTGTCAAAAGTCTATACAAGGCTCAGCATCACTTCTAATTTCATGATGGTTGGCTCATTCCATCATTCTGAAATAAACACGGGCATACCACTACTATTACTGCTACTCAGTTGTTAAAACATATATAATGAGTGCTGTAAACATTTTAGGTTCTAATACTTTTCTGGATACATCTTTTTGAAAAATGGTTCATCAACCCTCTTTACGGCTATTCTTTTGCACATTGAAATCTGCGTCAGACTATTAAAGATAAAAGCCTGAATATGTTATTGGCCTTTGCCACCATCAAAATGAATCAGGATCTGTAATTTGGTAAAGGTACAAAAAATGAAGAAAAACATTCACGCTCTTACTGTAAAGTCATATAAAGACAAATATTTGAGCATATAAATTTTTGATTAGTATTGAGAATGATTGAAATTTACAGAAAAGCTTGAATTTAATTTTTTTTTTTTTCAAATTTTAATCGCCCGATAAATCTTTTAGTGTACAACTATAATTATTGTATAGAGTAGTTTCCTTTCTTTTTCCAAAAAGCCATCGATTGAATCATTTACTGAATCCAAAGATTAGACTTAAAGTTCTTAAACTGTTCTTTTGAACATAGTTTTAAAATAACATTTATAAGCTCAGTGCATACAGGATTATGATTGCTGGCGCCACTGCTGTGAATAACAGTAAATGTCACACCTCCTACCGCTTCACAGATATACAATAGATAAATCCCTTTCTGGCCATCCCAAGAGCCATAAATAGAAAATTCCCTATGCTCCAGTGCTTCAGTGTTAAAGAGTTTGAAACCAGATCAGCGTGAGACATACCAAGTTGACTTTTCACTGGATCAGCAAATATGCTCTTCTAAAGGTTTCAAATATTTAAAACAAGTAATACCTTTAGCAGATACTGAGAGAAGCTGTCAGCTGCACTTACTCAAATCACACAAAAAATCACCGATAGAAAGTTATGTGATGTTTCCTAGTTCTGTGTCTTCCAACTCCCACCTGACATCCCCTATTGCCAGATCTTGTCTCATGATCCTCAAGATTGACTGTAACAAGCACTCTCCCCCCCTTTCATCATCGGCTTTCAAATCCCATCTCTGCGAGCGTCGTCCGCCCACTCAGCCTGAGAATAGATGCATTGTTCGCTGCTCACTTGTGTGGAGCATCTGACTGAAATCCAGGAAGATGGCGCTTAGAAACAGTGGCATCAAGTCACGTCAAATCACTAATTGCTTGACTATTTTCACCTAAGAGTGTTGTTTAATATATGGTCTCAAAATGCCGTGGCACATCACTTCAAAAGTTTTGGTTCATATAACGAAAACCTCTGCAGGCATTGGCTGAATCCATCATATTCAACAGTATTTTTTAACTGTTATGAAGTCAATGTAATAAACATGTTCTGCATGAAACTAAGTA